TGCAGTAAGCTATATAGCCCCAGCTGGGTACTACTTTATAATATCTTATAATATGTTCATTCTACTCACTGAGGTTTATGCATAAAGTCAGACTTGGGTTCATGTATAGGTATACATCAGCTGTGCTAGCTATTGGATATATATAGACTAATTAAGTTCATTAGCAAATCAATTAAATGGGGGGAGGAAGGCATAGAAAGCAATCATGGATACCAGGGACAATGTGGGAGGAGGGTGGAACATGGCAGAGGGTGAGGGATAGGGAATCAAGGATGACAAAACAAAAAACAAAGTATACAAGACATAAGAAATGGAAAATTATTTGCTGATAACATGTATGTTGATGTGCTTCATTGAGCCAATACACAGTGTATTTTGGATGGAAAATTCATTTGTATGTTGTAATGATGTATAGTGAATTAATGTAATAAATAAATAAATTTAAAGAGAAAAGAAAAAAGGAAACACTGTCACATAGTGCTTTCCCTAAACAACTTCATACACCTTGATCCTCTACCGCTCTATATCTCTGAATATTTAGGACTTCTCTATTTTCCCTGTGGCACTGGCACCCAGGGAACTTTTGCATCATATCTGAAGGTGCCTAGACCCAGGACAAAAGCTGCACACAATGTGTCCTATTGCCAAATATCCCCACTTGTTACACATCACATAGATACAAAGGCCGAAGGGGTGCAGTCAGTGATGTGGTGGATTAAAGTGGCTGGATCTCATATGGTTGACTGAGTGGTTTGAGTCTTGGAGCCAGAAGCTTTAACAATGTGCTGGGCATGTGTGCATGTATGCACAAAATCCCTGAGAGGAAAATGGAGGAGAAGGGATTGCTGCATGGCCATGCCCCTGGGGGCTACTTTTTTACTTTCCCTCTCTGTCTATCTGTCTGACTGTCTGGCAAGAACATGAACCTTAGCAAAAACTATTAAAAAAAGAGAGAGAGAAAGAAAAAAAAAAGACTGAAGGTATCAAGGCTTACTCGAGTTTTCATTCTTTGAATCATTTTGAAACAAGTCTAAGCTCCTGGTTATAAAGAGAGATGAATAGAACAGGGTTTGTGAACTGGTGGGCCAGTGTGATTGGTTATAAGACAAACTAAGCAAATAACATCCTATTTTGGTGCCCAGTAACCCATGTCCCCGTTTATCCTGAACTCAGAATATTTGTAAACCAAGGACTTCAAATTCTCTCCATTACATAGACATAAAAGGCATAGAAAAAGAAAATGAATATGACATTTTTGTGACTTACAGAGGAAATCTGAGCTTTTTACCATCTGTCTCCCCAGGATCTTCAGCCCAAATTCACGCCACAAGCCAGGGTTAGGGATCTCCTTCCATAATCTAATGATCTCTTTCTCCTTACCCAAATAAATTTAGACTAAATGAAACAGCAAATGTGCATCTGTGTTCTGTAAAGATGTCTTCTAATACAATAATAGCTATGTATTTTTTATATGTGGAAATTTAAGTGTCTTTGGGGCCCTTGAGACACTACTCCTGAATGAATTCTGTTCTAAGAAGTTTTTGAGCAAAGGGAATAATTAGAAGTGAGTAAATGACTTAGTTGAAACAGAATATGATGATGCTGTTTCCCCTGTGATATGAATGAGATGGAGCCATAGCTATTCCTTTTCTTTTTTTTTTTTTTTTTAAATTTACTATCTAGTGTGTGCACTTGCCAGAGAGAGATAAGAAATGAGACTGAGAAAACAACCATCAAGGAAGATGACCATCCTGCAATCTCTTCTCCTCTCTTCTTATTTTGGGTATGCATACGCATGTGCCTGATGTGTTTTTCAAGCAGTTGTAGGTCAAGGACTCAAACTTTACCACCATGCCACTGTTTGACTTCATATCTATACTTTTTACCCAATGATTGACCTAAGGAAGAGAGAGAAAATTTGAGGGATACAGGCCAATCTTAAAATATACATGGAAACCATTTTCTTAGTTTCAAGAGGATTGAATTTGTATGTCGGTCACAAGCAAAAAACATTTCAAGGCAGATTAAAGATTTAAGTGAAAAACAAAACTATAAAAATGTTAAAGACATAAAGCTAATATTTTATTTCTAAACAAATTACACTAATCTCTAATTTTAAAGGAAAATTTTGACAAATCATCCACATTAAAAGGTGTTGATCTGATCAATAACATACCTTGAAGCTAATAAAGAAGAATTACAAACTAGACAATATTTATAATATGTATTATCAAGAAAAAATTAATATTCTGAGAACATATATAACTACTATGAGTTAATTTTATAAAAGTCAAAATACTCAAAATAAAACTGAAGTAAAAAATAACAAGTTTTCCAAAGGCATAAACTGAAATTGTCTTTAAACATATTAGCAGATACTTAATTGTATTGGTAATCAAGGGTTATAATTACAAACCATCAAAGGGGCAATTATTAAAAAGGATGTTGAGATAAAGTGTTGACAAGAATGGATCTGCTAGGAATTATTACTGAGGATAAGAATCTCCTTGTTAAAATAAGTTCATT